CCGGATCTGGCAGCACTACCTGGAAGGCTCGCACTCCCATTGACATTGTTACCAACCACAAGAACCTTGAGTATTTCACTACCACGAAACTCTTGAACTGTCGGCAGGCACGTTGGTCCGAGTACCTAAGTCAGTTCAACCTCATCGTTCGCTTCCAACCCGGCAAGCTTGGCGCCAAACCGGATGCCCTTACTAGACGATGGGACGTCTACCTTAAAGAGGGAGGTAGCGACTACGCCACTGTCAACCCCCACAACTTCCGTCCAGTATTTACCCAGGAACAGCTGGCTACGTCCCTCCGAGCGTCAACTCTGATCACACCCTCTCTGCGTGGAGCTATCACCCTCGACATCGAAAAGCTTCATGCCGACATCCGAGAAGCCCTTCCGAACGATCCGATCTCTGCCGCTCAACTTCCGGCACCCTCTGACCCCAAGTTCACTCTCTCCCCTGACAGCCTACTACTTCTCAACGATCATATCTTTGTTCTGGACGTTAACAACTTGCGGATCCGTGTGTTGCAAATCAAGCACGATCATCTGTTAGCCGGTCACTTCGGCCAGAACAAGACAATATGCATGGCCTGGCATGCACGACTTTGTCAAAGACTACGTCAATTCTTGTGTTATTTGCAACCGAGTCAAGCCGCGCCACCACCAGCCTTATGGGCTCCTTAAGCAGCTTCCGGTTCCTGAGCGTCCTTGGAATTCTATATCCATGGACCTCATTGAGAAGCTTCCGCCTTCCGCTGGTTTCACTGACATCCTAGTCATCGTCGATAGGCTCACAAAGCAAGCTGTGTTCATGCCGACACATTCCAACCTCACAGCCGTCAAGTTGGCTGAGTTGTTCGTCCTCAATGTATTCTCCAAGCATGGTGTCCCCTCTCACGTCACTTCCGATCGCGGTTCCGAATTTGTCTCGCACTTCTTCCGAGGCCTGGGTAAGGCTCTCGACATAGAACTGCATTTCACTTCCGGCTACCATCCGGAAGGTGATGGCCAGACGGAACGCACCAACCAAACCTTGGAACAGTACCTTCGAACCTACTGCAACTACCAACAAGACAATTGGGTCACTCTCCTTCCGCTTGCCGAATTCGCCTACAACAACGCTCCACACGATGCCACTGGCGTATCGCCCTTCTTCACCAACAAGGGTTATCATCCAAACTTAGCCGTGCATCTGGAACGCGACATTGCCTCTAGCCGTGCTCAAGAGTTCGCTGTTGACCTAGGAGAACTCCACGAGTTCCTTAAGGAAAACATTCGCAAGTCTCAAAAGCGCTACCAAAAGGCAGCCGACAACCGACGTCTTCCGGCTCCGAACTTCAAGGTTGGCGATCAAGTTTTTGTCAAAGCTCAATTCTTCTGAACCACCCGTCCATCCAAGAAGCTAGCCGAAAAGTTCCTCAGCCCATACGAGATCATAGCCCAAGTAGGATCTCACTCCTTCACCC